AAGCAAAAGAGGAAGCATTCCCCTGCCCTTTGCATGCAGCTTCCATTTGTCAAGTCAGGGAGGAAAGACGAAAGCTAGGATAAATTACTAGAGGTAGAGCACAGCTAGAAAGGCTTCTCATTCACATATTTTAAATTCAGGATACAGCAATTGAAGCAGCTCCTGGAGGACTCTACCTCAGAATCTGATAGCAGTGATGACAGTGATGAGGATGATGAAGATGGCAGCAGCTCCACTTCCTCAGAACATAAACACAAGAAGAAAAAGAGAAAAAAGGATAAGAAAAAGAAAGAAAAGAAGAAGAAGAAAAAGAGGAAGCATAAATCATCCAAATCTAATGACAAGTCAGAATCTGACTGACAGCAGACACCTGCTGCATGCTCATTGACCTCTCTACTTGTGAACTGCGAGGAAAGATCCAAAGAACGATGAGGAAAACACCAGAAAGGGTTTTATTAAACTTGGAACATACATGCGTATGCATACAGCATCCTACGCTGGCATCCTCTTCTGCCCCTCTGCAGTCAGAAAGAAGAAAGCTGCATTAAACCATATCTTTGTGCTGTAAAACCCATGCTGAGAGTCATCCAGCTTGGTCACATGGGGCCTCTGCATTGCTGCCCGTGACCAGCAGCAGAAAGCGGCGACCACCAAGAGATCACTGATGAACCTGCAGCATTAGCAGACTGTCTGTTGAAGTGTCTTTACTCCATGAAGTTACTTTATTGTATACAAAGCCTCATTATAACAGGACTGCAGTTTGCACCATGCAGAGCACTGAGAGTTCTTTTACAGTGCTTATAATGAGCAGGTTGTACTGTATTTTCTTCTCCGCATACGTGCTGAAGTTCTGTGTACTTATCCTACTATTGGCAGCTAGGGAAATAAAGAGTACTGCTGCAGGGGAAAAATGGTAATCAAGGGGATTTACTTTACAACAAAATTGCAGCATCAGCAAGACTTGATTTTTTTTTTGGTGTGTGTGTAACAAAATCTCAAGATCACCACCATTAATACACAATTCTGAAGTGTCTAAAGTGAAACATCTACACTCTCTAAACCAGAGAAGTGGGAGCCAGGAGTAATGATGTTAGATATTCAGCTTAACTTGAAAGAGGAAGAGGGTTTAGTTATTTAAAAAGGGGGGTTTCACATAAGAAATTAAAAAGATTAATTTCTGCATAGTCTTCAGTATCAGTTGTTTTGATACAAATTGAGGGAGGTTTCCTTTTTAAAAGGCTTGGGGGTAATAAATTCTCACTTTTTATGTTTACTAGATTTGATGAGGTAACTTTTTTTTTAATCATCCCACAAGTATATAAATGTGTAAGGCTCTCAAAATAGTTTTCAACTATATGCATGAAGCCACAGAGCAATAGTAAAGAACTTGTTAGCAGGAAGAAGAGAAAGGTCTGTGTACTTAGTTGACCTTACATACTGACCACACTTTTCTTTTAAATAATCTTGCAGACTCAACCAGGGAGATGGAGATAGCTATAAACAACATTACAGTAACCAACTCTCTTTGAAACCTCAAGGTACATTAGTACAGAGATGTGACTTGAGGAAGTAGATGATGGATATGGTACTGTGCAAAAGGAAAGAAAAAACTAGATTTGTCTTGAAAGAACTTCTATAGAATTTAGGGTCTGTGGGTGTGCTAGGATTAAAAAACAACTTCACAATAAAGTGAACATTAACAGTGAAATCAAGGAACCATAGACTAAACTGCATCTAAAATATTTTATTTTCTTCAAAGCTTTGGAAGAGAGGACAAGGGAAAGTATAAATTAAAATGATTTTTCTCTCTCCTACATGACTAAGAATGACTTAGCAAAAGTAAACCCCCTTCCTTGCCAGTCATTCACAGTATGTTCTGAGGAAAAACAGGATAAAAGACAAGCAAGACCTACTTATGAAAAGTATCACATTCTCAGAACTTGAAGATAGAGCTGTAATTCTGCTTATATTTAGCAAATCTCCCTATGATGGGATTTTCTTGTGGTAGTTCCCTATATCAGCAGGATCATCAAACTCTAAGGCCCTTGCTCTTTCACCAGAAAGATTTAACAGCTGAAATAGCAAGGGGAGATCTATGATGAACTGATTCTCTTGGCCAGGTTGGACAGGGCTCTGAGAAACCTAGTCTAGTGGGAGGCAACCCTGTATGTGAGAGGGGTTTGAAACTAAATGATCTTTACTGCCCCTTCCAACCCAAACCATTCTAGAATTCCTGTATTGCTGAACTTGGTGCTGAGGTTAATGTATTTACAGATTATTGATATATAAGATGCTAGAAGACTGATACTCACCTGATGCATTCCAAGAGAACTCTTACTCAGGCTGATCTGCAGCAGGGCTAACTAGAGATCTCTTCAGTTACTTCAGCTTTTGTCATTTAAGATTGTTCTGAAATTTAGTTTAATAAATACAAATTCAGTTTTTCATGTGCAATCCCCTGCTTGTTAATGGAACTCTATCAGGGTTTATTATTTCAACAGTTAAGAAAAAACAAGTTGGGAGACCGTTTCTAACTTGTATCAAATCTAATTTAAATGTTTGAGATGCCAAACCACTTTTCTGTGCCTCACTAAAGGTTTGTTATATTAGTATCTTTCCAATCATGGTTAATAGAAGATGCCTCCACAGCAGAGCATACAAACTGCTATTATTTCTGTTACTTCACTGAAATGCTCTTTCAGCCTCTACTGCTGAGAATACCTATAGTGCAGGTACTTAAAATCATGAGTTAGATTTTAGTATTTAGTAGCCTTGGATATATTTTTTCTTTTGTATCCACTCACTGCTTATAAACCTTGCCATTTCCCTCAGCAATTAATTCTTCATTATTTATTAATTAATCTGGAGCACTTGGCTTTAACACTGCTTCTTATTAGTTGAATTTCACACACCTTTAGTCTTACACTGGAAGGTATGTGAATAACTAATTCCTTTTTTTTCTCCCTATATAATTTCCATTTTCATAAGCCTCTGTCCTATCCCATGTAGGTCTTCACTACAACTCATAAAAGTAGCATTTCAAAATTTAACAGTTTCAATAGACTAAGATTTATAAGAGTGCTTTTAACAGCTAGGGCTAGAGTGCTGAGAAGCATGATTCACATTATCATTTGGCATTTTAAAAATTGCCAAAGCTGTCATTTAAGATGAGTCTTTTAAAAATATGTAGACTAGAGATAAATACCAACATTCCTTTAGATTAATGAAAAGCAGTTTTGTATGGAAGTAAATGCAGAAACCAGGATAGAAAGTTACAGTCTTGAAAAGCTGACTAGCCTTATTTTTAAAATCATAGCCACTTAATGTTTTTGTTCAAAAAACATTTTTCTGACCTTCTTTGTAGACATGTATTTCCATTTGAACATTCTGTTGAAGCCCAAGTGATAGTAACATAATTATATAGTCCCATGAAACTAAGCAAGTGTAAAATGCAGCTAAAACAAATCTCAAAGGCATCCCAAGTCTTTTATCTTAATGCTCTGCACCATTTTTGTCAAAAAGCTATTTCAGGTAATATTTCTTTATTTCTTTGGCCATTCAATTAGTTGGGGTTTATAGTCTTTTTGAGTGAGTCAGTGGCAGCAAGTCAGGGGAAGCTAAGGACTCTAAAAAAAGGATCCATTTGTTTTTCCTTGGTATGCCTTCAGTTAGCATGCCATGAGTGTTACAGGCTTTTGGGATTTGGGTCTTTTTCTTGCCATTGGCTCTGATCTTCCTTTGTTTGATTTTAATAAAAAGACCTGTAGTTAATATTTTCCACTTATAGGCAGAACACTGAACACTGTGAAAGGGAAAAAAATTATGCCATCCAGGTGCTACCAAACTGAAAATACAGAGTTAATACCTGGCAAGCCGAGAGAACCCACAGCTCCACAGCAGTAATTACACCACACCCACTTTGCAACAGAGGTTTCAGTTAGCTACAAATAATGATTTAGAAATACTGAGCCACAGACAGTAAGTCTGTCCAAACAATGCTGTCAGTATGGCAATCCCAGAGGCCTCTAAGGTTTGTTGCTGGTGTGCCAAGCAGCAAATAGATTCCTCAGCTGCCTTTCAGGAGATGCTGCAGGAAGCATGTGAAAACTTCCAAGGCAATGCAGTACTGCGACAGTTACAAGTTTGCAGTACTGCCAGCTCTGCAGTGAGTCACTGGGCAGTCAGTCTGGCTGCAGTGGGAACAGAAGCTGACACGTATGTGCATCTGCAAAACTAAGTATCCCTGTGCCTAGTTACCTGGCTGAATAAAAAGAGCCCAGGCTTGAATACACAGCCTTTGTGAAGCATAGCCATTTTACCTACTGGAACATTAGATTCAGCTGTAAGCCAATTAAGATGCAATCCACAAATTGTCCATGCTGCTGAATGGAAAAAAAGCCAAGTAGAAGATTTAGTTTTAAGGTCACAGGACTAGTACTGTTAGATTAGAATACACTGCATATAACCTTATCAAAGAATTATTTCTCAAACACTGAACCATTCATGCATACTACTATGAGTATTGGGCACAGCATGGGAATAGTACAAAATATAACCAGTTTAAAATAGCATTTGTTTTAAGACAAAGAACCATGTAAACTTGCCTACTGCTACTCCCTCATGTCTTCTCAGGAGCATTCACCAGGCCCTAAATTGCTTCTTGCATCTGAGTAGAAATCACACTGAGTAGTGCAAGACCTGTGAAAGGATGACCAGCATGATCATTTGGAGTACCCAGCCAGTATTACCCATTTCCAAAACTAAGAATGCCATCCAGTTGTGAGATTATGAATATTCCTTTATCAGATTAACAGCAAAAGATACAGCTAAGGCTATCAGCAGAAATGTGTGTCAAAAAGCTCCATGCTTGAATTCCTCATTTGTTATTTGAGGTTATGATGCAGAGATTCTGAGCAGCACAGAAGCCAAATAAGGATTTTTATTGTATTTATTTTCTTTCATTAATTGAAGTAAAAATTAATTGAAAACTTGTCATCAGAATTACTTCTTTCCCCTAACAGCTTGTGGTAAAGGCTATAGCAGAGCTGTAACAATTAAGCTGGTGGTATTAAAAGTAGATAAGGATCAATTGGGTAGGGAAACATCAGTACTCCTCACTAAGAGTGAAAACAGCTTAACTTCATTTGCAGGTCAAACTAATAATAGGTAGGCACAAAACCTGAACACAGTCACTGGAAATGCTACTTTTATCCATGTAGGTTACTCTAGGACACAGAAAAAGAACATGGGAGAGGAAGCAAAAGACAAGTTCTGTCTGTCCATTCACCCCACCCTTTCTAAGGAAAACCAGATGATTGGTGGGGTTTTTTTTTTTGTTTCCCCATCTTCTTCACTTTATTTGGGAATCCTTTAATACTGGCAATATTGTATTTATTCTTCTCATACAGTGATAATAGCCTTCATAGTCATGGGGAAAAATTAAATATTTTTGAGCTATCCACCTCATCTAGATCAGTCTGTTATCATTATTCATAAAACAGCTCTACACAGACATAGTTTTATCATCTTAGTTCTATAAAGAGACTTCCAGGGACAGTATTAACTGTAAGTCATAGAAGTCATCAGTAAGAAGTCAGAAAACAGGGCACACCACTAAAAATTTCTGTTTTACCTTTCAGATCCATCTCTGCAGCTCAGGGTCTCCATAAAGGACTCAAAAATCTCCAGAGAAAAAGGGGAGGAGAGGGAAACATCACATCAACTCAATGCTTTAGTTTTAGTCCTCAATCATGAGAGTAAGATCTGAGGAACTGCCTTGAAATTTTAAAACAGCACTTGACTTTTTACAGCTGTAACTATATTCCTTTACATTTTGACAAAAACAAATCCAGCTGATAGAAAAGAATCTTGTACTTACATCCACATCATATGACTATGAGATGACATGGACAGGCTTCACAATCCTGCAGTTTAAGAACAGGGCAGCAATAACTGTTGTGCTATAATAGTTGTGCACATACATGGCCTTCTCAAGTTTTTTTGCTGCTAAGTAAAGATGGAACACAAGAAGTCTCAAAGTGCAATTCTATGAAATTTATTATTTAAATAGTGGATGTGCTAGTTATAAAAAGGTGGCTTTGGTGTTAAATACTTCATTCCATTTTAATTGTGTCCTCAGTCTTTTCAGTGTCACTTCTTACCCTTTTAGAGTGAACAGCAACTTACAAAATACACAAGAGGATAATAAGCAAATCTTGGTTTTATACAAAACAAATCTTTGGTATTTCCCACCCCCCCCCCTTTCTTCCTCAATATTTGCAATTATCTTTTCTTAGAGAGGGACTTCCTTGTTCCATGCCCTAAAGGTAAAAAAGAAAAAGAAAAAAGTTAAGGTATGTATATATTCTATCTCCAAACTACATCAGTTTGCTTCTAAAGAAAGACTAGATAGCAGTGATTGCCTTTTCCTATTGTAGGCACCAATGGTTGATATTAGTAGTATGTACTCCACTTCCCAGCAAGTATAAAGCATGCATGAACGATGCTGGGCTTCAGAATATCCCAGCATAACAGATAAGAGTTCCATATGAAGCTCATGTCACATTTTCAGTGCACTCTTGTAACTACATTGTTGAATGTATCCAAGAAACATCAACTATTTCTGGGAAAAATATAAGTAGTATTTTGGGATTATGCAAGTTTCCTGGATGCTTTTATTAAAAGCTGATCAGCAATTAAAGGTTTAAGACCAATGTTCAAACAATCTCGCTTCAGGACTGATGCAAATTTTCACTAGTAAGACACTTCAGCCTGTTTCCAACATTCCTTACACTTTCAAGATCAAAGTCTAATACTTTGTCTAGTATATGACAGAGAGATTATCTTTGGCTCTTATATTTCCTGGTGGAATATTTGAGTTTTTTACTATACTAACTTGTTCTTTTTCAGAAAGAAATCTGATCTTTTAGCTAGCTTCTTGTATCTACTGACCCTTTTCAATTTATAACCTTTGACTCTCACAGAAATGTACAAAAGCAAAGCATATTTATTGCTGAATCTACTTAATTCTGATTTTTCCCTCCACTGTTTTTCCCAGTCTTCCTCCAAATTAGCCAGAAGTTCCTATTCCATAAAGTTGGAGATCTTAAAAATTATATATGTACATTTGTGTTATATCAAATTACAAATCATTCAGGCTGAGACACATGAGCAGCTTAAATAAAAGCATATACTGCAGAGTGACACAGGACCCAGCACTTTAAAAAAGATTGTAAAGCAGTCTGGAAAGCAACTAGACTAAAACAAAACAGGTCTTGGTGTGGGCTTCCTCCCCCATCCTTACACTAAACAAAGAAGGAACCTAACCTAGTCAAAGCCACACTGGCATTCTTAGCAAAGTGATTAAGTGCTCAAAGTTTAGCTTGCTTCCCACCACCCACCTTGTCTGCATACATAGCATTTGCTATTATTTAAAAAACTGTCTGATATCCCTGCAGTTCAAACCAAGAAAGATTAGTCCCCAAGGTAGAAAAAATGCTTGTAACAGTCATTTTTGTAGCTTGTCACTGTATACCAACCTTTGTGTACACTGTGTTTAGGCAGCTCCCACATTTCTACTTCTTCCACTTCATGTCTCATGCCTCTGCGTTTTGAAGGTGGCTTGCCCATTCTTTTCTTCTTTGGTTTAATCAAAGGTGGGCACACTAAATAATGAGATACAAATGGTGTTATTTCTCCAATGCATAGTCTCAAGGCAAACTTAACCTTGATTTTCACTAGCTGGTCTGTGGTGTTCTTTTTCTCCCTCCCTTTTTTGTATTTGTTTTAATAGCAGATAAAATGGACACTACACATGTCAAGCAAGTCTTACACATCTACAATATTTAATCACTGTCTAACCATAATTCTGGATGCATTGTATTTTGGGGCATAATTTGGATAGGTGTTAATGTGGTAAAGAAGGAGCCTTTTATCCAAGTGCATTGGATAGTTCTGTTCTAGTTCACTTTTCAAGTGTTCAAGACCAGTTGGTGCCATCCAAGTGACTCAATTCATTCACTGTCTTCAAAAAACTTCAGACCTGTGAAGTTATGCATTACAAGTACACTGCTCAGGAAGTCAAATTTAGTGTATCATATTACTCCTAAAGCAATGTATCTTGTTTAGACAAACCTCCTTACTTGCAGGGCACTTGAATTTGAAAAAGCAAATACTAATATTTGCAACATTTTTAAAGATGATATAATTTTAATAGCACTTTTGAGGCATCCACTGGCACAAGCAGCATTCAGAAACCACCAGTTCCTGCTTCCTAATACTGAATATGATAACTTCTTCAAACTACCCGGACTGGAAAAAGAGGAAGAATAAGCAAAGAATAGACCAAACATCCTCAAGTTTGCTGTACTATCTATGAATTCAAAGATTTAGAAGACATATGCTAAAAGTTAAAGGTAACTTATTTTAGAACTATTACCATATTTTTATATGTTGTTGTAGAGGAGCCAAGAACAATGCTGCTGAAGTAAAATGTTTTCAACTTCTATAGTGCATGCTAGCATTAAAAAACAAAACCCTACAAACCCCAGTATGCTCAAGCAGGAAAGCAATGCAGAGAAAGAGCTCTAAGGAATACACGGTCTACTTGGCCGTTGATATAGGAAAACTGATGTATATTATCAGTGAACTGAAGAAAAAAAAAAATCATATTGTTCTGAAGATAGCCTCACACCCCATCATTTGATAGACTGATCCTGAGATTCTTGAAATGTTCAAGAGGTACATGACCCAGGAGAGTGGCAATACCCACACTACAGCAAATTCTGTAGCTGTTCTAACAGCACCTACACTCAAACACTCTTGAAAAGCATCAAAACCAGATCTGAACACCAAGTAAAACATTAACTATAAAGAAAAAGCAAAACATTCTGCTTCATGAGCTGAGAAAATATCTAAGCTTTTACTTTGTTAAAATAACTGATTTCTTAACATTTTCCTTAACTAGATCACAATGATTTGTACTCAATCATTCTTTAGCAGTGTCAGGGAAACTGTTGGTCCATACTAGTTTTTCTGAGCATTGGCATATGAAGCTACAACAGAGAACTCCCTGTATGTTTTACTGATGAAAATTAGGAGCTACCACTGCATATGCTATTAAAAAGTAGCATTATCTGGATAAAAAAATTAATATTACAGTTTAGGGCAATAACAGCTTGGCACAAATGAAGGATTTGCTTTGGACTCAAAGCTTTTAATGCTTTGATTTCCTATAATACCTTTAAAAAAAACCCCAGAAGTAGCTCTGATGCACCCTTATTACCCTGTTTTAGTTTGAGAAGGCTATAAATATTTCCAAGATATACTGACAGGCATTTCATCAATATCAAAGCAAGGATTAGTTTTATTATTTTCAAATCTTCTACAATTATCATATGCTTCTATTTTGTATCATATCCTTTTGAATGTTCCTTAAGAACAAAAACACAGAGGAAAAGTTATACCTTGTTCTTTGCTCTTTGCTGGAGGTGAGAAACTACCATGTATTTGGCTGGTAAATCTGGGTTTAGCACCACTTCTAATCCAGTACTCTTCTGGTGGAATCCCCATGTTCTCCCTTAACAGCCTTCCTAATTCAAATTAAAAAAAAAATAAGGTCAATATTTAGTCTTGGTAATGCTGATGTATTGTTTGAGCCACAAGCCAGAATGCAAAGCCAGCTACTGGATCTGATTGTAGGAATCTGTTGAAATGGAAAGTTTTCTGGAGATCACACTTAAGAAAAATTACAAGACACTTTAAGTCTACAGATTTTGAACAAAGAAAATGTTTAAGAACACTAATCCTGCTATTAGAAGTAAGTCACGCTGTTTTGGTTGTTTTTCACAAGACAAGACTGTACTAAACAGCAGCCACCTACTGAAATGACCACCTAACCAGTTGCAAACTGATAACTCTTACTCTCAGTTTCGATTAATCCAATTTCTAAGAATATCTACCTTTGATTAAATAAAATGTCCTTTTCCAGGTCAAATTTAATACAATTTCACACTGATTTTCTGAAAATACAAAACTTTTCCTAAAAGAGAGCAGCAGCTACAATTAAAAAAAAAAAAAGATAGCTTGACTCCTCTACTGCAGGCAAGTCACACAGGGTCTGTCCAGCAGATTAGAATTAATTTAATTCTGTTCAATGCACCCAGCATTAGTCTGTGATAGGAGAGTCAGACTGTATAAACTTAAATGCAGAGCTTCTAAGATATTAAGCAACAGTAAATACATAATCCAAATTACCTTAAACTTTATAAATTAATAAATTGCCACCAATGTCAGAGAGTTAAGTATATCAGATCTAACACAAAGGAGTTTCTGCATTATTCTCTGCTGGTTGTGAAAATGCAGAGTTCTCATGCAACAGGTAAAAATTTGCAGCAAACTTCCTCTGCTTCAGAAAAAGGACTGCAGGACTTCTGGCTCTTGGCCAAATTTGAAGCTACAACATGCTCTGATCTTCCCGCTAGTTTAAGCTACAATTTGAAACTGCAATTAGGTGTTCTTTGTGTGTGCTACTAATCAGCACTTTGTCCTTAGCAATTAGCTCACCTCCCAAGAATTTCCGTAGCATTCGCTGGTGTTCAAGTCCTTCTCTTCTTGTCATAGGCCTCTTTCTTCCATAGTACCCATAGTCACTGTATACAACTTCATCTTGTTCTCTCTTCTTTGGCTTGTAAACTACACCAATGTTTTCAACAAACCCACTCCTAGTTCTTATTTTCTCTTGAGCCGGCCAGCTAATTAATTGTGCTGGTACAGCATTCTTAGGTGGTTTCCAAAGCACGCTCTCACCAACTTGGTAGAAATTTCCTTTATTTGGCCTCAAGATGCCATATGGAGGGGCTTCTTGAAAAAAATACTCAATTTCATCCATGTCATCATCCTCTTCCTCCTCGTACTCATCCTCTCCATCTTCCTCTTCTCCCCTCACAGAATATTCTTCAGAGTCCTCAATTTCTGACAAACTCTTAGTTGCTTTTTTGTTGAGAGAATCAGTTTCTTTCCTACTAGAGGACCTAGAAAGGGCTCCCAGCTTTCTACCTTTACTGGAAGCCTCTTTGATCTTTGTGTTTGAAGAGTTGACATCTTGGTCATTCAAGCTGTTCACCTGCTCTTTTCCTGCCACTTCATCTACATTAAGGGACCCACCACTTTTAATTTGCTCTTTCTCTAAGCCCTCTGTACTTTTCTGAAAGGTATACATGCTTTTCTGAAGCACATAGTCAGGCACAAAATAAGACACTGGGGCATTATCAATTGATGAGCCTTCCTCTCTAGAGGACATGTCATCAGAAGACAGACTGATTACACTTTGATGCTTCCTTTGTGGCAAACAAACATCATAATTTGTGTCCATACTGTCCAAACAAGCCAGCCAGCTGCTAGAGGGAGTAAATTTCTCAATTGATTTGTCACACCTAATACCTTTTTCTGTCTGACTTTCATTGGTTGCACTGTGGCTTAAATTCAGCTTTTTCTGCTGAAAGTCACTCATTACCTCCACATTAGATGGAAGTAGTCCTGCTTGTTGAACAAAGCTGGGGTCGTCTTGAGAAGTTTTTGGTCCTGCAGACCTTTTAGTGCTAGATTTCTTAGTTATTACCACTGGTTGATCTACACCAACAGATCTTGCCAAATCTGTGATTTGCAGTGCCATGGTTTCACCTGGGGGGGATTTTGCCAGCTTTTCTGCATCCAGCTTCACTTCATTATTTTGGACGTCTTTCTCTTGCACAGTTTCAGCACTCAGTTTGGAGGTGACAACAGCTTTTCTCTCATCTAAGGAAGCTCCTGGCAGCATATTCTCCCCTTCACGAGGGCCATATATCATGCCTTCACATGAGCTAACAGAAAATAAGTCATGTGGCACTATGTTCTCTGGAACTGGTTTACCACTTGCCACATCATACAACGGGATTGTTTCTTTAAAGGACTTCCACAGCTGAATAGCTGGAGAGCCGTTTCCATATTCAATCCTCACTTCTTCCTTCTCAAAGGCATAGCTTCCAGCAGGAAGATTTCTATACTGTGTAGAGCTGGCAGGGTTCTTGTTATGAAACTCTCTGTCTACCACAACAGAAGAGCCAAATGAATCTTGCTTCTCTGAAGTACTTTCAGCCTCTATACCTATACCAGGAGAAACACAGCCTATATTTCCTGCATCACAACCTTTCGTTTCTGTACGGATATCTTGATGCTTTTTTTGCTTGCTTTCAGGCTGTCTAGGATCAGTCTGTGTTTCTTTTGTCTCCATTTTCTTCCCAGGGCTATTATAATGTCTAAATCTTGTTGCATGATAAAACATAGGGGAAGGTGGGGCAGCATTAAAATAAGGCCTTCTGTTAATTCTTGCATGCACTGGATGCTGTGGAACAAAAAATCCAGGGTACTCATGGAGTGCAACAGAATAAAATGGAAAATACGGATTTCCACTTCGGAAGCCTAGACATTGGTGACAGAAAGAAAAGACAAACATATCATCTTTCTGAAATAAGTCATTCTGAAACATATTTACTTGCGTAGACAGGGACAGCTACAAGGTCAGACACATCAGTAAATAAAACATACTGCCTTTCAATGCTTAGAAGCAAATCTGGTGCAAAAACTCAGAGAGGGAGTTCTTTGTTAGGGAATAGCTTATCTCAACATCTACACTTCAACTAGAGATTGATTTCATCCCTTGGAACATTCACCAAGTTGTTTTCTGTATTTTTTTTGGTTATTTTACAGATTATTGCTATAGCATTGTCTTTGAAAGACAGCTCTAGATAGAAGTCCACATAGGTATAGTGCCTACAAGGTGTATTTAACAATATTTTTCTTATTTTCTTAAGCTTACATTTATCCATACCTATCATGCATACACACATAGAATTCATATATACCCACACATTAATTGCTAAGTATATTCTAGAGCTCTGTGTTTGCAGGATGACCATTACTTAATATTTTTCTTAGCTTCCATTCTCCAGAAGCAGATGCTTTCCACCACACAAGCTACATATTTAAGGCAGAATCAATGCAGTGCTGCAGTCATCAAAAATCTGATTTACTAAGTATTAGTTAAACTCCCAAAAGGCTCATTAACACAGATACTGCAAGAGTGGAGGAAAGAAGTATGTAACTAACTAAGCAAAGATCCCACAGAGAGCTGCTGTTTACCTTACCTGGAGCAGGTACACAGTATGGGCTGTATGCATGACTGAGATACCATGGATTTGGATAAGGCTGTTGAGCTGATGGCTGTGCATAAAAAAAGGGTCTTGGGTGGTTTGTGGAATATGATCCACTTTCTGAAGTTGAGGAAGTATTCATTTTTCTTTAAACACTGAAAGAGAGACGTGATCATTATCAACCACTTTAAAAGCTACATGACTTAATTATTTTCATGCTCTGTCATAATTTAGCAGAGATTCCTCTCCCTGCCCAAAGAAAACATATCCTTCCAAAATAAAGCTGCTGTCTTCTAAACAGAAGGTAAAAAACTGACGTTGCTGTCAAGGTCAAATATTTCAGCTGGGCTTTGCTAGGCAAGCTTTTGTACACAGCTCTCAATATTAGTCCTTCAAGGCAACCTTGTAACATACTCTACAGCTACAGAACTTCAGTAGTCTTCGATGCATACATATCTGTAAGTAATATCACAGCCAATTAAATAAAAAAGCCTTCAGTGAATTAGCCTTGAGCCAGAGGCCACATACATGCAAAAAGGAAGAAAAAATAAAATAAAAGGCAAGGCTTCACACAATCAGACATTTAATGCTTCACAAAGAAAACACTTCTTAATGCTAATGTATGTGTTGTTACACATTACAATAAGAGCTGCATTAATTCAGGGTTTGTACTTTATACTATACTTAAGAACAATGACAGCTAGCTAACATAGTAAACCAAGCATTTCAGTGACACCCAGCTTCCTACGCTTAAACCAAATGATAGGTAGCAAAAGCAACCCCACCAAAATCCTTATGTGTAAGTTTGCATTCAAAGCCACGTTAGACTCACAAGACAGAACTTCCTCCCACACTTAGATGTCTCCTCAGTTAACTAATACTTGCAAGCAATACAACACTATCACACACAGCTTATGAGCAAGACTATAAGAAATCACATAACATAGAAGCTTAACTCTTTAGAAGACTTAAGTCCTACAAAGTTATAAAAAGATAAAATTATTCTGAGACCTGTTACAAACTACCACACAGTTCAGCCCAGAGTTTCAGAATGCTTTAGGAACGCTGGAGCTCTCTTCAGTTTCCATCTAGGGTGGCCTGTGTAGCTCTTGAAAGCACCAAAAAGCCTACAGACTTCCTCAGGCCAAAGAATTACTTTGACCTTTGAAAAGGAGAGCAGTGCAAGGAAGAGAAAAAGAAAAAAAAACCACAAAACCAAAACCCCCTACAAGGACTAAGCCATTCCTACCCCCTTAGACCCCAAAAACTCATGTCTAATGCTGCTGCTGCTGCTGCTTACAGCCCAGCAAAACACTAACCGAGTCCTTTGCTCACCCTCTTTATGGCAGGCAGCTGCTACTTGTCCACTCCTCCTCCCACCTGAGGCTCATTTAACAGTGATGCAGGGAACGTTTTCCCATCAACGTGTGGGAGGAAAATAAAAACACAAGGATAGGAATAGTTGTAAAAGCCTTCAGCTGGTGTACAGAAAGCTGGCAGTCTTCATCTTGCAGATGTTTAAGCTGCACCTCTAAGTAAATCTGGTATTTCCCTTTTGTGATGTTGGAAATTACTTTTTTGTTATTATTTTAAAAAAGAAAGGGAAACATTACCAATCTTCTGAGTCAAACTGCAGTTAAAAACACTTCTTTCAGGAAGAAAAAAAAAATCAGAAGACACAAGGCCAAGTTTACATTTATTTTCAGCATTTAACTGTTGCTCAGTATTGAATAAAGGGAGCAATGCTCTTCCATTCTAACATGGCTGAGGGGGCTGACAAATGTAATGTTATTTCCATATGAGCAGGAGAAACACTTCTTCCTGTACAGTGTACTCCACTGTGTGTCATGGGAATTTATGGAATGTGAGGCTGCAATTTGACTCTACCCTACATCTTTATAGGAGGTGAGAGTCTGAGCTGCTGCTCTGGAATTGCACACCTCCAAATGAGAGACCACTGGTAGTGGGGCAGATGGAAGGAGAGGAAAACACAATGCATGTGCTATGCAGGCTGATTAGGGAAAAACAAGGGGTATGGATGCTGAGAGACTCTTGTATTCCTGTGTTGGGAAGTTCCCAAAATGTATTTGTGTTTTCTTTGTATAATGTTCAGATTAAACACATCCTTCGTACTAAAACACAAACTATCTAATGTTTGAGAAGGGTTACTGATCCATTCCTTGCAGACCTTCCCAGCCAAAGCTCATCCTTTCCACTGACAGCAGCATTTGTACTTTGTATGACCTGTAGTGAGAGGACATCGAGCAACGGATACAAAGTGAGATGGGAAATTTAGGCTAGATATTAGTAAGAAATTCTGTTGTGAGGGTGGTGAGGCACCGGAAGAGGCTGCCCAAGGAGGTTGTTGGATGTCCTATACCTGCGAGTGTTCAAGGCCAGATTAGATGAGACTTTGAGCAACCTGACCTAGTGGGAGGTGTCCACGCCTACGACAGGGCTCTTGGTGGATGCACCCAAAGAGAAATAAAGAAAATGAGTATCACTGGATGGCTTCTAAAAACGTGTATGTTCTCCAGCTTTCCCTTTCTCTCATACCTTACTTCAGCTTCCTGTTCCCCTGTCACTTCCTTCCATCCTGAAGGAAACTACTGTCCCCACAAACCTCAGGTGAATTTTTGCTTTTAGGGCAGCAAACCTACACTTGGCCAAAGGACACTCCAGGATTCCAGGAGGTCGAGGGACCAGGGGGAGAGGGTGTTAACCCTGAAGCCCACAGGCCTCCAGGTTGCAGCAAGTTTGGAGCACAATTCCTGTGAGGAGCTGGTGTTGTCCGCCCGGAGAAAAGGAGGCTCGGGGGGGGATTTTATCGCTCTCTACAGCTCCCAGAAAGGAAAGTGTAGCCAGGCGGGGGTCGGTCTCTTCTCCCAAGCCACCAGCGACAGGATGAGAGGAAACGGCATCAAGTTTCACCAGGGGAGCTTTAAGTTGGACATTAGGAGGAATTTCTTCCCAGCAGGAGTGATTAGACATTGGAATGTGCTGCCCGGGGAGGTGGTGGAGTCACGGTCCCGGGAGGTGTTTAAGGGAAGACTGGACGTGTCACTCAGTGCCAGGAAGCGGTTGACAGGGCGGTGTCCGGTCACAGGTCGCACTCGGTGACCGCGGAGGCCTTTCCCAAGCCGATGGATTCTGTGGCTCTGTGGGCCGCCGCTCCCAGCAGAGGGCGCGGGGGGTCCCGCTCCACCGGGC